TGTACGTTTTGCAATTTCAATAAGTTTCAATAAGAAAATATTAACACCAACAATAGCAATAACGATATGTTCAATGCTGCTGCATTGCAACAAATTGCTTTACATTTATCACAAATTAATGATGATTATGGTAATGATAAAGAAGAACAGCAACAGCAGAAACTTATTGAAATTGCAAAACGTACAATTGATAAATATAACAATGGTAATTCAGTATTACCATCGTCAATTAGAGAAATTTTAACAACAATTGAATCATTTTAAAACGGTCTTCTACTGGCAAAGACCAGAACAATAATACATCAATATTAAAATCATTGAATTTATTATACCCGTGTACAAGTCGTTGGTTAGAAGTTCATCGTGAATTTCGTGATTGTACACACTATTTTATTGATGCTGATTCACTACTACTAACTGTTTCACATTATTCAAATGTTAATGTAAATGAATATTATGGTCACACATTACATGTTATCTATATTATTGAACGCATACTACTAACATTATTTAATCAATTAAATGAAAAAAATTATTATATTCTATTTTTTGATGATTTAAAAGATAAACTTAGCAATAGTAGTAAATCAATATTATATTTATTAAGACAATGTTTAATTGAACATATTTAATCAAATATGTGTTTTTCAAAAATGATGGAGAAAATTGTGAATTACTTACAAAATTCCAACTTTTCGCCTCTAATTTAGAAAAAATGAACTTTTATCAGCAACAAAACAAAATGTTACAAAAAGCAAGCAGTGCTTTTAAAGCTGGACTTTCAGCGAATCTAATGACGTGCAAATGACGACCTCAACCCTGAACACAAAAAACTAGATAGGTTTGTAAAATTGCATGCCGGCACTTTAGAGGGCTAGTTTAGGACATCCATGCTGGACAGGCTTTTAACCTCGAAATTGATCGAACACCATTTTTATATTCAGTTTTTAATGGTGAACCCGAAAGCTACAAAACAGTGGAAAGCCGAGATATTAAAAGATTTTTCGAGTTTTACATCCTTCAAGCTTTTTAAACTTTTTACCATGAAAAAGATTATTTCAAAAATTAAAAGATGCATTTCTTAACGAGCTCGATGCACTCTGTCCAACGATGTATAAATGAAAAGAAAAAAACTAGTGATACAAAGTCGTATTACAGGCACCTAACATTCCGAACGATAGAATCAGATGACAAATCTATCTATTTATGAAACTCTACATCTTATAGTCATTTCTTGACAGATGAAATCTCTTATTCAAGAACACTTGAATTATTTACTGGATAGTGAAATAACAAGTGATGTTGTATTTCAACAATTTATTGATTTAAATAATGAACAAAATGAAATATTTCAGGTTAAATATATTAATATATTTGAGGACGTTATTAATGAAAAATTAAAAAAATTAACACAACATGAAATCATCATTAGTAATACCAATACGAATTATAAACATATTACGAATTTAACAGAAGATGTAGAGTATTATTATTAATAAAAAACATAGTCATACAACAACGGAACAAAATGAACGTCAGATAGATTCAGAAGAAATATTGTCGTCTTCAACAAATTATAATTACGATCAAGATTTTAATCTGACCGATGAAAAACGTGATCAGAGACACGTCAACCACATGTGGGATCGTAGTACAAAATATTCTTGGCTGATCCCGCTAAATGATGACAGTGTGGAGACAATTTGTCTAACATTGCAATCTATATTTAGTCAGTTCGGAACCCCTCGTGTTCTTTCCTCAAACAGGGATGAAGTTCTCATTCAAAACGTAATAGAAAAGTTGATTTCAGCTACTTGGTTGAGCTATATAAATACCACAACGG